TTAGGGCTGTTATAGGGTTTAGGGTTTAGGGTTTAGGGTTGGTATAAGGTTTAGGGTTTAGGGTTGTTATTGGGTTTAGGGCTTTTCTGAGTCTTTCGAGGGTGCTTTCTTTACAGGGTGTTTATCAATGTCGAGTGGGGCTTCTTTGCTGGTCTTATGACAGGGCGCTGGACAGTTAGCATGGGGTTGTGCGGCATATTCAAGCATCACTTTTCTAGGGACGAAAAGGGGGATACTTCTGTGGATATCACCACGAATTATTCAGAACATCACCGCGAAAGGCAAGGGGCTTCCCAGCACGTTAGTTGGTAGCGCTTCGATTCAAAGCACACCCCCTAGATCCCTGCACGCCAAGCATTAAGCCCTGTAGCAACCTACACGCAACCCGAAACCCTCTAAGCCCCTCGTGTCCTAAACCCTGAACCCAAGGATCCTTCCATCAAAAATCCTTCAACCACAAACCCTACTGAACCCCAGACCCTCGTACCCCAAACCCTACATCCCAACTAAACCCTAAACCCTAAACCCTAAACCCTAAACCCCTAAACACTAAACCCTGAACCCTAAACCCAAACCCTACATCCCAACCCTGAAAGAGTCCACCGAAAGGCCTCGGAAATGTCTCATGGCTCGTAGAGCATGATGTAAGCAGGGATGGCTTGATTGTCCTGCTCCGGCTTAGGGCGTTTAGGCCTAAACCCTAAACCGCAACCCTAAACTCTAACTCAAACCTGGGCAACTACAAGGCTTGTCCGACATGCAAGTTTTGCGGCGATGCGGGGTTCCGCAGACTCTCAAGTTTAGAGATTCAATGGCAGCATTGCTGCTGCCGCTGACACGACGTCCACTCCAAATGGACAACACAAACCCTAAACCCTAAACCCTAAACCCCTCTTTTGAAAAAGCCCACTGAAAGGCCCCGAACGCCAAGCATAGGGAGGTAACACCTTGAACGTCACATAGATGCTGGGGTCCGGCAGCCGATCACAGGTGTTCCTTGAAGCTTTTTGCTTTGGAGGGCTTTCGGCTTTGGGTTTCGGGCTAAGGCTTTCCGGAAAAAGTCTCGCTTAGGGCTTTAGGGTTGTGAGGTTTAGGAGCTTAGGGGCTTTGCTTTATAAGAGGTTAGGAGTTTGGAGTTGTGGGGTTGAGGGCTTTGGGGTTTTGAAGTTCTTGCTTTTCGGAGCTATACCCGACACCTAAAGCTGCAAAGCAGTACACCACCCACATTAGGCCCGAAATCCCCAACTTAGAGCAGACCACCTGGCAAGCAGGTTAGTGATAGGACTTCTCTGGCGAGTTGGGTCTTAAGCGTTTAAACGCGCCCGAACCCTAAACCCGAAATCCTAAATCCTAGGGTATAGGCTTGTCAGCAACCTGGCCAAAAGGTTGAAGGGTACCCACTTTACTGGTATTTAGGGTTTAGGGTTTTAGGGTTTAGGGTGTAGAGTCGAGGCTGTAGAGCCCCAAGTTTTTGGCGGGTGTTTTCAGGCTCGGGGCAGGATTTAGGGGGTTGCAGTCTCGAGGCTCGGATTGATGGCTTTGCGAAACCCTGACTGAACCCTGAACTCTACACCCCTAAACCTTAAAGACCCCAAATACTAAACCCGGAAACTCAAAGCCCCAAGCCCTATAAACCCTAAACCCGAAACCCAAAACCCAACTAAACCCTGTTAGGCTTTCGGTTCTAAAGTTTCGTGGAAGCATCCGAGGCTCTCGTAACGCTCCCCGGAAACAGAGTGCGGCTTCCGCGGCGGGGGATACCTCAAGACTTTTCAGGCTCCGGTTTAGGGTTCAAGTTTTTGATGTTGAGAGTTTAGGGCTTAGGCGTTAAGGTTTAGAGTTTAAGGTGTACTGTTTTTAGGGTTTCGGGTTTAGGTCCTGTGTAGGTTTAGGGTTAAGGTTTAGGGTAACATCCTCAAACCGCAATCCCCTCAACCCTAGAATTTTTAGTCCTCAAAACCGGAACTGCACCGCCCAAAGAACCGCAACGTCCTAATTCCCTAACAGTCAAAAACCCAACATACAACCTTAGCTGCCCAGTATCCTAGGAACTAAAGGTTACGCCTTGAGATTCTATAGGAGTTATAATACCCCAACCAGGTTAGGTGTTCATCCCCGACGACCCTAACACCGAAACCATAACCCCAAACCCCAAACCCTAAAGCCTGCCCCTAAACCCCAACCCTGAACCCGAACCCTAAACCCTAAACCCTGAACCCTAAACCTGAACCCCCACACCATGCGAACCCATGGTCCCTCTTTCACCTAAACCAAAGCGCCCTCAATCCGAAACCACCCCAATCTCTAGGCTTGACGTTTGGCGTCTGAGCTCAACCAATCCCCAACTCAAAAGCCGAAGGAAGCCAGAATTTTAACCCACCGCCCCTTCGAAAAACGCCTGGCCATCCCCCCAACATAAGAAGCACTAGAATGTGACCAACCCGAACCGAGAAAGCCCAAACTCCTGAACCTGTACACCCTAAGCCATTTGCAGAAGGAGCTGCATGTTACTGGTGCCCACGACACACTCCCCGACAAGGACCGCCTTGGGGGGGATCTGGCTAAGGGATTTCAAGCTTAAAATAAACCCTAAACCTCAAAAACGGTCTACCGTCGAGGCCTTTACTGAATCACTAGAGCAAGGGCTTGTAGGGTTTGGTATGTAGGGGAATTTAGGCCTGTAAAGAAAAGGCTTATCTCGGGCTAGGCAAGTACTGCAGGGGCCTCAGGGTATTAGAAAAGGATTTCGAGGCTATATTATCGAACGTATTTTGGAACCCGACGGAATACTGTGGTATTCCTACTTCTGCATTCCTGTACGTACGCCGTGCTTAAGAATTCAAATCACATGAGAACCAAGACCCTAAACCCTATCTGCAATCTTGTCGACGGGAAATCTAAACCGATGGCGGTCTACTGTCTGCTTTCCAGGCTCCATCAGTTTTGAACCCGGAACCCTCGAGACGCAACCCTTCGAACCCCAAATCCTTCGAACCCCAAAGCAGCAATCCTCAGAATCTAAACCCCAAGCCCTAAACCCTAAACCCTGAACCCCTAAACCCCACACCCTAAACCCCTAAACCCGAAACCCCTAAACCGATTTGACCCCTGTGTTATGGACTCTGCCTTTGCTGTACGCAAACTGTGGGAAAACAAGCGCCGACTCCGGGAGCTCCCAAGACCCCGCACAACGGCTCTACTAGTTAAAGGAAACTTTAGGTTTTAGGGTTTAGGGTTTAGGGGTTTAGGGTTTAGGGGTTTAGGGTTTAGGGTTTAGGGTATATAGGGCTTCTGCAAGGCTTCTAGAAAGTATACAAACGTTCGAGAAAGGCTCCTATAACGGTAACTACCCGGTACCTGAAAACGTCCTGGAACTGGAGGGACCCTACGGCCGAACCCTAAACACGAAGAGGTTGTAAGTTAGGGCGGATAGAACCCTTTAAGGTACCCTTTAAAGGAGCCCCAATACAGTATTCTACTTATTAAGGCCCCTACATTACCCTTAGGGCTTCGGGGATGCCATCCACAAAACATCCTTCCGCAGCCTTGGGGGAGTGGGATCTCAAGCCTTCCGATGATTTGACCATGTCGGAGAATAAGGAGGGTTTAGACTTTAGGGCGTGTCGTTTAAGGTTCAGGATTTAGGGTTTCGGTTTGAGGGTTTTTAGGGTTCAGGGAATAGGGTTTAGGGCTTAGGGCTGAGGGTTTGGGGATCCACCTCGCCGCTAGGCTGCGCGAGGCATCAGACAATCCATGTGTGATACGCGCTTGGAGACTGCTCCCAAAGTAGGGGACTTTTCTGTTGTGACTGAGGTTGTTTTGTATCGTGGGGATGCATTACCTAAACCCACACAGAACCCTGCACCAAACATCCTGCGCGACGGGTCTAAGTCTAAGGCTTTGCATCTAGGGCACAAACAGGGTTCGCAAAACCTTAGCCTCAAACGTCGAGACCCCAAACCCGAAACCCTAAATCCTAAACCCTAACCACTAAACCCTAAACCCCAACAACCCTGAACCCCAACCGAACTGACAGCCAGGTAGCTGCAAGGAGCATGGCTCGAACATTTCTCCCACCATCAGTCCTGGAAGCGTCGCATTTCAGGCAGCGTGTGGGCGTAAACCCTACAACCCTAAAGCCCTAAGCCCTTATCCCCAAATCCTTCCCACCCTAAACCCTAAACCCTAAACCCCAAACCTTAACCCTAAACCCCAAACCCGAAACCCCAAACCCTCCCCACCCTCATCCCTGAATCCCCTTTAGGGTGTGTGGCCAGCCCAAAGGACCCGAGGAAACCTTAACCCGAAAACCCCTCAAACTCTGAAGCGCTGAAGAACTCAACCCTCAAGCCATAGAGGGGGGTTTAGGGTTTAAACGTTTAGGG